AAGTAGAAAGTGACGAAGAATAGAATCCGAATGTGATTGCGTCATTTGTATACAACATATAGCAAACGTGCATTCCTTGCGCTTAGATTCGCAACATGAACATGTATTTACTTTCACATTCGGTTCGCGTCTGTCTGGGTATTTTTTTTTTGTTCTCTCTCGTCGTGTTGACGTAAACATTGAATATATGTGTATGAATTTTTCAAGGTAATTCCAAAACGGAACCGTTTTCTATTTGCTTCTCGTTGTCGCATGTAAATGCTGCCGGTTTGTTTTTTTTTCTAACGCGATATAAATTGCGGTTAGAGCCAGACAGTATAGAATGCTCTAGCGACTCACTTTTTTTCTATCTGGGTTAATAGACCGTTTGCTCCGTTGTGTGTGATCATTCGTTTGGTATGTGTTGCTTCGGTCTATTGCCTAACGCTATCAAATCGACGATGAGTAATATCGCACATTACGTTTTCAAGTTCAATGTCTGTGAAACACCATCCGACAAACGTTCAATTTGAACAGAGACAATCAGATATCGCAGCAAACGTTTTGATCGTTTTTCTCTGTCTCCGAATTTCTTAAATTAAACGCGTATGTGTTTTAAACGAAATAAAATTCTTGATTTGATTGTTTGCTCTCTCGTATCATTCGAGTAAAAAAGAAAATTAATTATATTGTCGCAATATTACCTCTTACGTAGTAACATGACGACAAATGTGCAGTTGAGACATAAATTACAATACAGAACGTATAATAATTAAAAATAGCTAATAATATCACATTCAACATAAAAAAATTGCCCGTAGATTTCAAAATCCGAAATATTCACTCGATACACCCATTTTGAGTGTGCGAATGCAGTTCATTGACATTGCTGGCCAAAAATGCTCTCGTGTATGTTTGATCATATTCTGACAATACAAATACATGCAAACCACAGAGAAACTATACGCTTCGCCGTGGAATGAAGAAATCTGATTCATTTTATTGCATATTCGCCCATTAGAATACCAGTGAATACCAGTTTTATTTTCGGCACAAATACACGCAAAATCTGTTTTTTGTTTTTTCAAAAGAAATGGACAAAGAAACACGAGAACAAAGCGGGCAAGCCAAAAATGTAGTGTACATGGAATAGGCCGAAAGAGTTTTTGATTTGAAATGCGTTTCGTGTGCGCTGTGGTGAACACAATAGAGAATGGCAAATGTGAAAGAGAGTGAGAGATTTGCCGATCGGGAAGAAATCATTAGATGCACAAACAAGGTAGAAGCAATTCCCGAAAAATTGTTCGCTTTTCGAATGAATAAAACATGTTTACTCTCATAGACAGACAATGTGTTTTTGGTACAAATGCACAATATCTCAAAAGCATCTCATGAAAAATACGCACTAACTTACAAGAGAGGACAAAGATCGAGTGTGTGATATTTCGAAATCCATTTCGGTCATTGACATCATACACACAGTATTTTGTGCGAAATTTTTTTGCCAAAATTAAATGCAACCGGAATCAAACAGTACAAAAATCAAAACTGATAGTTCACAATCAATGCCACTTTCATATGTGAGTCAAATATAATTTGATATCAACCGTCCTAAATGTATTGCAAAACCGTAAAATTTGTTTATGTAATATGTAAATATTTGTGTAAATCTGCTTAATTTATGGGCTCACGCTCTCTGTTGAGGTTTTTTGGTAGGCAATTAAAATCGGTTTAACCGAAAAACAACTTACAACTAATTCACTTACCTTATCAATGGCAAATAGTGTTGTCGACATATAGACTTTGTGCCTTTGTGAAAATGGTATGGGTGGAAAAGTTTTCTTAACACATTCCGAGTGTGTGTGGTGCAAATATGTTTGAATATTATCAAATAGAAAGCATCTCTGATGTAAAGTGGCATGAAAATGCCAGAAGGCAGCCGCTAGCTATTCCACATTATAACCACAACGCACACACACATGCATATGTGTATATATCAATAACAGAACATTTTGACTAGAACTAAATTATGCAAATGCCGTTCGTGCATGCCACTTATTCTCTCACATAATATGTGTCGTTTCAATCTACTGAAGGAGTTGCTTCGTTTTTGCTACCGTTGGCTTCTGAGAGATGTGTGAAATTACTGAATATCTAAATACCAGTGAAATGATTTGCCAAATGGGTTTGAGTGGCAGAGTGGAAAATGAATAGAGCTCTATTCATTAAATTCCTTTAAATTATTTGTTGTGGCTTTTGCTTTTGTTACCACCAAACAGACACACACACAATGCCACCGCCAAAGCAACAGCATTCGGGCAATTTTACATTAACATCAATACCAAAAATATGGTGCTTCAATTTGGATACTTTACGCCTCATCACCTAAGCCAATTGTAGTGAGTTCAGCCATCATGTTATTGTATTGTGTTTTCGCTTGGGTTTTGTTGTCATTTTGTTTTAAGCTCATTTCCATACAAATTGTGATAACAAACAAATCAATTTGCTCATTTTCAAAATAAATTGCGGAGAGAGAGAGTGTGTGTGCTAAATTTAAAGTTGAACACATCCGTTTGAAAGAAACCGCAAATTAAATCTCCATATGAGAAAACAATAATAATATTGCGATTATTTTTGGATACTAAACAAAATAAGGAATTCGAACGGTATGTTATTTTTAATAATGTGACCGTATGTTATTTGTTGTGACGTATAAATTGTGTGCCATGTGCATGGCGGCTATTTTTACGCTTAAGAATAAACCATATGCACAAAATATGTCAATGTTCTTGTTCACATCTTTCAATAGAGAAGCAAAGTGCGGTGAACAAAGTGCATTTGGTAACCAGTTTTATTGCGGTTCATTTTTCACAAACAAACAAAACAAAAACTGTCTCCTTTTTTTCGAGTCTTTTGATCTTGAATTGATTAAAGTTGTCAACAAAATGCTGGCCCTTTGCAGCACGCAATCGAATATCGGCACATTTAAATCCGAAAATGTTTGGCATGTTTAAATGTCATGGCTTTTGATTTGAACACGAAGCATAACGTCAACAAGCGCGTGGCTTTTGGGATTTTCAACGTGATGATGATGATGAAATGTGAAAATTACATGTTTTACTCGGATTTTATTATGATGTTTTGTCGATGGTTGACGATAATAATATTTGGCGTTTGGTGTGCACAGATGAGTGACGCATTGTGTTTTGAAATGAACGGCGAAAGCAGGCATGCTGCTGCTGCTGCAACCGGTGGATGTTTTTAGTGTTGTTGTCAGTACTATAATCAAGCTATTATATAATTTTATGTGTTTAAATCATATCACTCGCAGGCATAGTATAACGGGATCGGGAGGCGAATAAACATACAGCACGCCAGCACAACCAAAGCGAATGAGGCTAATAGAGAGAGAAAGAGAGCGCGCAAGCGATGTGTGCGTGCTCCACTTTGATATACTATGCACAAAACTACCGTATCACATCTATTTTTGATCACTTTTCACGCTTCATGTGCAATTTTATGTTAAAATGTTACATATCTCCATTATAATGAGGAAAATGTGGGATGAGACAGTGAGGAACGGTAGCAGCATTCGGTTAACAATGTGACATTGCACAGAGACAGAGAATGTGTTCATAATAACATTCAATGAGCATGTTCTAAATATGGTTTTCAGTGTTGGCAACCAGTTGCACATAATATGCTCTCACCAACTTCAGATAATAGCCATAAAAGTGTCGTCTTCGAAATAACACACATATACGAATACGATGCACCATTTCGAAGCACAGCGACCATCCATTGAAATTAATATTTTGCATGCTAAAGAACAGCGAATGTGTGTATGGAGAAACTTTTGCTTGATTACCGAGTTATAATCACTTTTAATGGCATCATATGCGGGAAAAAGTTGGCTTCCACAGGCAAAAAGGATGTGTGTGTGTGTGTGTTGTGCGTCATTTATTTAACTATGAAAATGAGACATTTATTCGCCTATTCAGTGATACAAATCGTTTTAAAATAATTAAATTATGGATTTATGATGTGTCATAAAGACATTTTCACAGCCATTTCACATTTTCATGATTATGATGGTAATTTTGCTTGCACTAAAACGACAAACAACTTTGAAAACTACACTAATAGTAAAACTCAAGCAAATATAATGCTGACGGCATTCGAATTGTTTAGAACATTTGCATCGTATAAAAAATCATCAAAATTCATTTCATATCATATAAATCTGTCTTTCAAATAAAAAGCCCTCAAAAAATAACACAAATAAAAAAAGCAGCCACTCGTTCGACTCTTTGTTTCCTTTTCGTTTTGTATTGTATGCACTGCGCCATGCTATCGAAGCGAACATAATTTTCTAAGTGCATAAATAACTAACATATAATCTTTCCTTTCCGCCAAAAATTGTGGAAAAATGGAAACTCAACGAAATAAAACTAATGAGGAGAAATTACTGTGGTTGTCGGCATTAGGTTGTGTGTATTTTGTTTGTTTGTGTGACCATGTCAAAAACTACAAGGACCAGGTCCGGAGAGAGAGAGAAGAAAAAAATTAATATTGTGGACAAAGAAGAGGCGAACAACAGAGGAAGACAGAAAAAATGTGTTGTAATCAAACGAATGTCGTTAACAAAAGGGAAAATGTGGTAATGGTGAATAGCTAGCTCAACAATGTTGCTGCGAGCGCAAGGAAAAGAGAAAAATGGGATATGTTTTTTTTCCTTTGCTATTTGAATGTGAGAACGTTTCTCTTATTCAACGACAAAATCTAAACCGAAAAAATAGAAGTGAGAAGCCAAAGAACTGCACATACCAACCCGAATCGTAAGAGAATCAGATTATTTTTTTTTTCATTCTGTTTTCACTACAAACAATAGTGTGGAATATTATTCTTAAATATATAACGAGTTTTCCACCGTCAATTGATTTTATCACAAGGAATGGTGAAATCGGTTTTCAATGCAATTACTTAACGATCTAAAAAGTATTTTGAGTATTGGTACTCACCTTTTGTTTGAATCGGTTCTCGATTAATTTCAAATCGCCAGTTTGTTGGTTTTCAATTACGCTGCAAAAATAGTTCAATGGTGAGCCATATGCAATAGGAGTGTCTGCAAAAAGGAAATAATCACAAAAATATACTAATGATGAAATTGTTTAAATGAAATAAATGGTTTTTTTTTGCAATCAAAAATGGTACTTGAAGAGAAGTTTTAATCTCTGCGGTTATGGGTTTGCATAAGCAACATTAGGTTCGTATGAACAACATGCACCGACGAACCGAGACGCACACATACACGGTGCCAACGATGGGAGCAGCATTAAATAATATTTGAACTTATGTGTGTGTGTGCGAGTTTAGCATTTTTTTTTTGACAGGAACCATAGACGAGTGGCGAATAAATAACCAACGAACATAATATGAAGTGGAAGGCAACAAACAAAGGCCAGAACAGACGAGCAACGAGCGCGATATTATTCATACATGCATACATGGAACCCGAGCATACACCGAAAAAAAGAGTGTTGTATTCATTTTTCGTTGGTCTTTTATTTTCTCGTAAAATAGTCTGTCGCATCGGTACGTCTTTTTCCGATTTACTAATGAACATCGTACTTCATCTCGTTCTTCCTTTTGACTGGTGTGTTTGGTTTTTTTTTTGGCTATAGAGAAGATTTTTGCCATTTTTAGTGGAAGTTGAATGGTATATACGAGTCACACAGGACATTGAACCGGCCAAAATAGAGTTTGAGTGTCTCAAATTTCAAACACACTTGTATGCTTGTTCGATTCGACATCATTTATCGACGAAATATTTTCGAGTTATGAAAGAAAGAAACTGGTCGCTGTTAGTCAAATGATTTTGGTTGTGCAAGAGAGAGGATAGACGATGAAGATGAAAAAGTTCGCAATTTATTATTCGAATGTATTGAATGTTTGATGAGAATTGAAAAACACACACGGTGAAGAACCGGTGAGTTAATTTTTAATCTTAACGCCGTGAAACCATCAAAATACATAAAATAGAACCAATAAAACTAATGCCTTTGAGCTGACCATAAATTGATCGTCTAGTCGCTAAATTACAATAGCACACTGAAATCGAAGATAGTGAAAGAGCATATGGTGAGAGGAAAAATGAATTTGGCAAATAAAACAGACACGAAAATCGACCGTATGTGTGTGCGTGTTCTTGATTCAGCGCCGGAATTAATGAATTTCGCTTAATCTTATGCGAAAGAGCGTTTCGTATTTGTACGTTAAACATACGATTGATGTGTGCTTTTCATTTGTTCAGAGAGGTTTTTATATGTTGCTAATCTAGTATCTTGAGATTCTTGATGCATGGACAAACTATACAGGCGCACACATAAATAATAGATAACGGCCTGTAAAAGTGGCAAAGTTTTATTTCGCAGCTAACGCACCGAATAATTTTTTCGATGGAAAGTAATCGACAGGCGGCAAGGTAAGGGAGACAAAAAAAGAGAATACCAACACACATTCGCAGTCACAGCGAAATGGAAAAATGGTCGACAAGCAGAAGTTTCTTAGTTAGACGACAAACGAAAGAGAAAAAAAAAAAAACGAAGACTTACAAATCTGTCCAATATTTATGTGGCCATTTTCTTAAAGTAGGTAACATCCATTGAAATACATTTCCACCATTCGACCATATATAAATATATATAGTTACAGCTCACAGCTCTTTATGGCTACTACTATCATGAAAATAAATTATAGTTTAACTTTGTATGTATGTGCATTTGTGCGCTTTTCCTCCGCATCTAAATCCTTCTCTAGCTCCCACTCTCATACTCTACTAAGGGTAATTCGACATTTGGCTGTTTATCTTTATCTTTTCTTACTACTTTAATGTGCGTGTACGGTCGTTTTGGGCTGTGAAAAAAAAGTAGCATTAAATTCACGGCCGCACATTTTGCCATCGTTAGTTTTTCTATTTCGTAGAAGATTTTGATTGTTGCCGTGTGTATGGTTGTGCAAGACAGAGAGTTTTTCGACGGTAAATAAACGAAATGGCAAAAGAAAATAAATAAAATAAAAGAATAAGTTGCCAGAGATAGCCGAGGATGGAGAGTGTGAGACGACAGCAGTATAATGGAAATACATGTTTAAATATTGCACGTTTGGAAATGGTGTGCCAACGTCTGCGTAAATGTTTGCCGTCTCAATGAGCCGAAATTCGGTACATGAATATATCGATAAATTTTAGATCTGGATATAGTTTTTTTTCTTCTCTCGGCTTCGTTTTCTTTTCACTTTGCCCATGGCCTATGCTGTGTTCGACCTTTTTCATGACGATTTCGTCTTTTTTTTCTATTTTCGCCTTTTTCTGTAAATGTCTTCATACGAAAAAGTAAAGCTGTAACAATGCGCGTCTGGACGAGCCGCTTGATAATAATAGTGCGGTGTGTGTGTGTGTGTCGTGTGCTTGTCTGCCAAAGCATTAGATGATGATGCTGAATGTATTAGTGTTATTACATGTTATTTCGATGGTCAAATCGGTCGGAGAATGGTGCAGTTAAATCAAACAGAAGAAGGAACGAGAGGCAAAAAAGCGGTGTGCTTTTAGTACGTTAGCAACTGTATATAAAATAGTGATCAAAGTCATTGCCGAGATGGATTTGAGAGGGAAAAAAATGCGAGACACAAAACCGTATGTCAAGATTCGAAATATGTGCGAAAGATTAGTTTTATGTGTGCATTTGTGTAGCCATCAAAGTCATCAACCAGGGATTTTCTATAAATGTCTCGTTCGCTCCCACATTTGTGTTTTGTTTTTTTTTTTTCGTTGCTACTCCGACTTTCTGTTAGAATATTTTATGCGACTTTCAAGCTTTCTTTCTCGTTACTTCTACTTTGCAAAAGAAAGAAGCTATTGTGAAAATGATTTGGCTGTTTCCCCTGAGAACGAGTGAAAAAAAAAACGAAATGATTTCATACAGACGAACAAAACATAAAGTGGAAAAAAATAAGTTTGATCTTGTGACAGTGCAACTTTTCTTAAATTTCTTTTTCTATCTCATCCGAAATATATATATACAGCGATGGCAGTTACCAACTGCACACACATAAAACGATAGCAGACAGTCAAAAGGTGCGCTTGCCTACAACAAATTATAAATGATTTTTTTATGATTGTATAAGTTCTACGAAAATAGTTTCGGTATTTTGGAATTTGTTGAGCTGTCACATTCGGTTCATCGACAAAATAAATAACCGCTCATAGAAATGTAATCAGAAGAAGAAGAAAAATGTTTAGAAGAAATGCCCAGGTACACCTCTTGCGTCGTCCTTCACCTCGTCGAAATAGAAAACGTGCAAATAATAATCGATAAATATTTCTATCGGATCGACGTGTACTTGGTCTTTTTCTCTCTTCATAGTTTGAATGGAAAAGAAGTTTTCAAAACGACCGGCGACTTAAGTAAGCTCTCAATAGAGAAAGCGTTGCGATGCGGTCGGCGAAATTAAATAGAACGGAAAATCCATTTTGCTTCTTCTTCTTTTTCGTTATTATTTCTTATGCCATGTGTTTTTGTACAATGGAAAGAAGGAAAAGAGCGCCTACACGCATAACAGATGATCGCTTGTGTGTGTGGGTCCATTCGAAGTAGATGGATTTCGGTGGTTCGTTTCTCAATCACATATATCAAATTCGAATTAAACTACTGTGTACGATAAATATACACGCACGACTATGTCGACTCAAACCAATTACACGCATGTAGACACCACGGCTATTCATAGACGTGTGGCAGGACATGGAGGGTGACTTTTGCAAATAACGGACAAGGGAATGGCGCATCCAAATCGATTGGTTCAACAGTACATAAATGTTAATCGCTATCGATTTCTATTTCGTAGACATGAATCTGAGAGACATTGCCTATTCTTTTTTACACATGTAGAGAAAATTCACCATTGATTCGCTTGTCTCTATTGTCAGTAAACACAGTGGCTGTCCATCAATCTTTCGACGTCATCTACTCGAAATATCGACGATGATTTAGTTCCTTTTTGCTGCAATTAAAATAAAAACACACACCATAAACACACACGGGAATACCAAGAGATAATTAATCAAATTACTGCGACGTAAGCAGCCTTTTTTTCTTCTGTCAGTGTTATTACAATGTGAAACTAGGTTGCCAAATTTTCATTGTGCACATTTGCCTGTTTATTTGCCAATGTGCTCTTTATTGCTCTGTTATTCATCGCTATTGCAAAAGCTTAAAAAAAATTCTCCATTCGCTTTCAAATGAAAATAATCGTCTTGACGCGCGAAATGATGCATTACACATGTGTACTGTATTTACTTTTGTAAATACATGCAACTTGACAACACAAATATGGAATTGGACGAAAATATACAATTTATTCATTTTATTCGGTAAATGTTGCGCATCTAGTTTAATTTACGATTCGAATTTCATTCTTTGTATCCTCCGTTAATTAATTCTATCATTTTCCATTGTCGCGATGTGATATTTTACAGTAACAAATTCATCACGGGACTGAATGAATTGGAAACGAAAAGGATTGAGCGAGCGAACGACAACAGAGGACATAACACTCAAATGTATCGCTTCGATCAGCCACAAATTGCATGATAACCAAACAAAGAAGTGATAAAATGAAATTAGTAATGCACGAGAAAACAACACAGACAAATAAATCGAAGCAAATATTTACATTGAAATATTTATCAACTGTGCAATCGAATTCGCACACCCGTCCCCCCACACTTACTTATACACTCGCACATCGTTTTGTAATGGTATTTGTTTTCTCTCTCCTAGAAGTGTTGTTTTTCTCTCGATTTTTTTCGGAACTTTTACGATTCACAAGATAGCAAATCAAACAAAGAACAATTTAAAAATAAAATACCCGAAATCGACTTAGGTGGCGATTCCATGTAAATGGCAAAATTTCCAAAAACTTCAACTTAGATGACATTGGATAGAATCAAAAGTTACATATATTTTAAATGGAATTCCCTAAATACGTGGTCATTTCAAAATTGATAATATTGGATATTTTGTTATTATTTTTGGTCGGTTTTTTTCTTGCGAAATGCATCATGAATTTTTGTCGTTGTTTTGCTAAAATACATAGACTAGGCCATTTCTTGTCACTTTGTTTGTACATATATATGCATAATTTGCGACGTAAATGTTTTTTATCATCGCAGGATGTTTTCCATTTCGCTTCAACGTAATTCAACAAACGGCACATGAATATGTATATAAATTCAGCAGAGCACGAGCTCTTGGATCCGTCTCTCTTTTTGTATAGTTCTTCTTTCGCGCATTTTAGCTTTTCACAGTTGAGACTCTTTCAAAGCCGTAAGTATTAACGCTCAACGACGAATAGTTATAGTCAAGTGTATACTTCGTGACTCAACTCGGTGTTTTTTTTGCATTTCATTCATTTTATCCTCTCTCTGTTGCCGTAGTTCTGGTTCTGGTTCTTGTTCTCTATGTGCGCGTTTTTTTTTTGTTCTTCTCCATTCTGTCTGTGTCTGATTATTTGGTGCGTAAAATAGCTGTACACACCGTTCAATGCAAGTGCATTCAATAAGATAGTTGTATAGTTATGTAGGCAAATATACCGCTTTTTGCAGTTATAACCGTATATGTTTGTATGTATATATAGATCAGGAGGTTGCCCACGAACAAGGAATAGCGATAAAAAAAAAATACGAGAAGTACGAGAACTGTACAGAAAACATATGTAAACGACTCTTTCCGTTTTTACTTGCATTTCGGAAATCTCTATCTATGGCTTTGCCGAGTGAAATCGAAATAAAAAAACAGAGAAGAGAACAACATTGGCCAAGCGACTTTGGTGCTGGGTAATAAAAACAACAACACTCCATACTCATTGTAGTTGACTGCGTGCACGAGTGTGTGTGCATGTGTGGCTTTTGGTTGCATCAGAGCGAGAATCGAATGGGAAAATCTCACGTGTTGAGTCGACTTTGCGCGTCGACAGGCATTCGCTTCGTATGTTTGCGAACAAATGAATTGCCATTGCCTTTACACTTTACATGGACTTTTTGCTGTCGCGTTTTGCTTTTCCATGAATCTTTTACATGAAGCCGAAAATTCAACTGTTGATTCTCGTGCATTCTTTTTTCTCTCACTCTCTCTCTTCTAGTATGTATTCTTTTCGCTACTGTTGGCATGATGCATTCCCAAGTACACATCACAAGCACCGTTTTATTTCATTTATGTTTAGCTATTTTTTTTCCTTCCGTTTTTTTATCTTTACTTTTGTCTACTGCTTTTTTTTCTCTCGGTTTATTGAGTATGTAACATTGACACATATTCAGCCAATTTTGTGGTCATTCAGATTTTTTTTCTACCCATTTTCAAGTAGCCAATTTGGAATAATTGCGAAGTAGGGTTTTTTTTCTGTGAGCAGTTGTTTTGACGGTTTTGTAAAAGGATAATAATAGAATGTGTGCTTAGAAAACTTACCTGAATTTTATTCAATTTGATGACGTGTTTTTGTTTTGAAATACTTTTTTTGCTTGTTTTCGCACTGAGTTAACTATTTTGATAGGAACTCAGATGATTTTTAGCGTCTTTTTTGTCAAACTTATTGCACTCACATGAAATTTTTCAAAAAAAAATTCTCTTTTTTAGCTCGCTTGTATTCTTTTTCTCAGTGAATTAACAGTTTCTAATCGCAAGTGGAGTTTTTTTTTTCTACTGGATTTTTATCTTGTTGTGTTCATAGTTGAATCGTCCATAGATGAGTAATCATTCGCCGTGAATCACGTGATGTGGATTTTATATGCGTTTTATTAAAACTTTCCATTCGAATTAGCTAACGGTTATTTGATCAAAATTTTGGTAAATTGCACTAATTTTCCGCTTTGCTAAGAACCCAAAATCACTAGGCTGAGTGTTTGTTCAAAATAGAATTATTTTCTGAAAATTTAAAGAATCACTTGTAAAAATCACAGTAACATAAAACGTTTTTTTTTATTGCAAAAAAAAATGATGAAGGATTTTTTTCTGATGTAAAAACTAATGATTTAATATGGAAGGATGAAAATTGAAAACAATTTGGAAAAAAATCAACAAGTTCACTTTTTACACAAAACATATAGAAAACACAAAATATTTTTTATAAACTCAAACGATTCACAATAAAAAAAATCATTGAAAAAAGGTAAGTGATGGAAAAATGAAAATGGATCGAAAAAAAACGGAGTTTTCGGTAAAATCAAGAAATGTAACCTTTGATTTTTCAGAAAACTGATCGAAATTCGTCAATGAATGTTGAATTGAATCTGTGATCAGATTATTTTTCAATAAATTTGCGCGTTTCTCGGTGGCAGAAAGAAAAACAAAATTTTTCTATGAATAAATTGTTGATTGTGCGTTGATCTCAAAGTGTAGATGCCGACAAATCACAACTGATGTTGGAAAAATAATGTTTGATCGTTTCGTTCGAGTTGTTATTAAATGCTGTAAAAATTCTTTGCGCTATGGAGAAGAAGAAATAAAAAATATTGTGTGTTTTTCTGAGTTGGATGTTTGGCTGGTGCGCGTTTGATATTCGTGTGCTCTCTCACAAAACTATAACTGCTGATTGAGAAGGAAGAGCGATTCACTATGAACGACCTGTCCAAAAGCTCACTTCTTTTAGTCTAAAACACTATCAAATTATTTTTCGGCAATATTTTTTCGGATGGTCGGAATGATATGTATTTATGTGTGTGTGTGTTTGCATTCGATAGTGTGCGTATACATGTGCACACATTATATATTGTATATATCGGTTGGCACTCTTTTTGCCTTTTTTTCGGTGTTCTCTCGATTGTGTTGTTGTTGATGATGTGTGTTTGCGTGTGCTCGTTTATTTGCGATATGGTGGCAATGGCAAAAATATATGCAGAGCCTAAAAATGGCCTATGTGTCTCACTCTTTCGTCTCTCGATTCAGTGTCGATTTCATATTAGACTTTATATACAGAGTGTGTGTGTGTTATGGAACACACACACACATATAGGCATATGCACTCACACTCACTGTCACAACAACGCAAATGATCGGATACGCGTGTTTCGGTGACCAAATACATACATAAACAGTGAAATGAAGAGCGAAACTTTTTTTTTCGCGCCGATTTGCCAAAAAGAATGAAAAAGAGAACATTACACAAAAATACGGCTTTTCGAGTGCAAGGTATGTTGTTGTTGTTGTATATTTTCATTTCTCTCGTTTGTTGCCCATTTGCTCCACATCCAAATATAAAAATGTGTATGCAGTTGTGTGTGCGCCATACTTTTTTCTACTCTTCAATTTTTTTTTTATATTTTGTATGCCAAACACTCAAATTCGCACACAATTACATATTAAATAATTTAAAACAGGCAACGGGAAAAAATAACGAGGAATTGGAAAAATTTGTGCACGCACATGTGTGAGATGTGTATGCACTTTCTCTGTCTCTCTTGCATTCGTTTCTCCATAACTGGCGGCATGCTCACTCGCCCTTCTGGCAACATTTAACTGATTGCATGTATATACGTATATATATGTTGTCAATTGGATGCCGTTGCTACTGCAATTTCATTGTTGTGTGCCTTTGAGAGCGGCAACCAAATTGTCGATGGTGTCCATTTGATTGTGTGCGTTTGTATATCATTCAAATATGATCGACGAAACGATGATGAAGAAAAAAAACCAACAACAACAAAAACAAAAACCGACAAAAAATATAAAAATTATATTCTACTGGCGGATGACAATGTGTGAGTGCTTATGTGATTATGCAGGCAGAGCAGGGCAGCAGCATGCCAGAGAAGGCGAGAGCGACCAAAAGGAAGAATATCGTATAAAAATGCAAAACAACTAGAATAACAACACAAACAATAGCAGCAACGAATGGACAAAAACATCGATGCAAAAAAAAAACTCATCATATAACGACAACATATTCATTGGAGGCACACCGAAAAATAAAAATATACTCATGTGATGTGATGTGTGATGCCTATTTGATGTACGAAGCACACGAAGTGTGTGTATCGGTATGGTTTCACAAATATATGCAATATCACAAATGGCCATGCATGTATGTTCACCCGAAATTTTTTCGAATCTGGTTGCGATTGTGTGCGTGATTAATCTAGAAAAAAAATCGTCGTGGTTTTAGGCATTGTCTGTGTATTCACGTATGGCAGTATGCGTTTGTTTCTGTATTTGTGTGATGTAAATTGGTCCCTCTCCAAATTATTTGCACAATACTATTGCGCATCGAGTCCTAAAAATCAGATTTGAAAAAAAAGAGAAATAAAAAGCCAACAACAACAACTGAACAAAGACCAAGCAGTTGACTTCGACCGAATCAAGATTGTTCGGCGATGTGTGTGTATGCGAAATGAAGTAATGAAGAAGAAGAAGAAAAATTCAGCCAAAATCCCTTTGCACCGCATTTGTTCCGTCGATCAACATAAATGACACTTTATTACTCTATAGTTTGGCCGTTTTTGCATACACAACAGAATATACGTTGGTGGATCAACGAAACAAAACTTCTCTATACACAGAGAGACGAGCGCGCGCGGCCGTTCAGAGTTTTAAGTCAGTGTTTTTTGTTCGGTGTTCGTCATACACGCAAATTTGACGATAATGTTAAATATATTTTGTTTTCTTTTTTTTTTCTTCGCATTTTTACTAGTTTATTCGCATTTATATTTTTGCTGGGGCAAACATGATTTTTGTGTGGCTACATGTTCATTTCAGCTTAGAGAGACTTGTGACACACACACACATACACTCATGCATGATAGCATTCAATGAAATTATTTTGGTCAAACTTTTAATACGCATTCGTTTTTGTTCGATTCGTAATTTGTACGTTTTTCGGTGATTTATTGAAGCGCAATACATGCTCTTTTGTGTTTACGTTGTTGATGTTCGAATTTTTAGAGGGAGAGACAGAGAGAGAGCGAGAAATCTAGAGAGAGTGAGCAAGTCACACTTTTTTTGTTGTTCGACGGCATGCTTAACCGTTTTGGTGGCTGCCAAAATGTACATTGCATATGCGAAACAAAACGATAATACAATTTACACATGATTGAAATTAAATTTTTATACATTTTTAAAATGCATATGCGATTGAATGCACACATAGGCTCATTTATGCTGTCGACTAAATTTTTGTACATAGAACAACGACAAATGTTTGAAACAAAAAATGTTTTTTTTTTTCGCTATTTTCGCTTACATTATCAATTCAAACTTTTCTTGCCAACACCGATTTTCATTTGCAATTGCAGCGCGCAGAAGGAGAAAAAAAATATACATTAACCAGTTAAAATATATACATAAAAATGTTCTGTACCACTACCACACGGTCGTCACACAGGAAAATATGGAATGAGTGTGTTGCTTCTATCTCGCTCTCTTTGTTTGCCATACGCTTTCGTTCATCGCATTGCTATTATCTTTTATCGCATCATGCACACTTTATGATGGTAGTGGTGGAGTCGGGAAGAGGAAAAAAAATGTACGCTTTTCTATTGGATTTTTATATTTATCAAATAAAAAAATCCACTCAACATTATTTTTAAATGTATACGAAATTTTATGTGCTCAGTCACATTTTTTTCTTTCTTTTCTCCACAATCGATGCGAATGGCGAACGAGAATGAATAAAAAAAAATAAATGTTGCTCGTATATAAAAATGAGCGTGTATATTGATGAATGACACAGATAACACGAATTATGGATGAACGAATGAGACAGCGTAAATTAGAGATGTGCACCATGGCTGTCATTGGTCGAAGCGAATTAACCGACAGGAATAAAAAAAAGTGCACACGAAACAGAGAATAGCAGCGATAAAAATGCATGTGCAAACCGTCAAAATCCGCCTAATTTCAGATAAAATATTTAATAAATACTCTCAGTCATTGAATTGCCGAACACCATAAGCAAATTGTATCATATAACAGCACCATTTTAAATAGCTTCATTGTTCGTCAACGCTCAAGGAGATTAAGATCGTATTTTCATTTCGGAGAGAAACTATTTTTTTTATTGGCTTTGGATTTCAAAGAGAGTGAAATTATTTAGACACAAAAAATCAATTTTTATGCCATTGTCAGAATGTTAATAATGTTTGATGTTCGATCTAAAAAAACAATTACCCGAAATTAATTTGCTAATGTTAATGAAACTGCATCAATTCCGTTCAGCCTGTCTATATTTGTTTTGCTAATGGTATAAACAAATATTTATTGACACAGAAAATCGAAAATTGTGATAAAAAACACGTTTTTTTGTCATTTAATTCGGCGAAACATTTTTTTCGCGTCGATATTTGAATTTGTTTGCAATACATTTAAAATTAAAGCTTGTATGGGTTATAATTTGCTTACGTTCATCAGTTCTAAACAGACTTCTTAAAAATAGCAATGATTGACGGATGAGATCAACCATTTGTATTAATTGCGATTCTGAAGAAATCCATTTTGTTTACTATCACCTTTTGTTGCGAAAACATGTTATTGATTCATACTAATTAAAAAATTCATTGAATTTAAAAACTGCCAAGTCTTCTTCGTACTAGAAATGAAGTACTTTGGAATCTTTTTTAAAAACATTCAAATAGGTTTATCATTTCTGGAAGGAGATAGTCTGTTCATATTCTTTTACATATTTATGGCAGTTGGAAATAATATTTTTTTAAGTAAAAAAATGTGATTGATTTCATGTGAAACAAGACTTTCACCTTGAAATGTCTAAAGAACAGATGCTGTAGCATCGAAAATAGAACTCAAAGCGAACGAAGCACTGACTGCCGTGAATGAAATCAATGCTATGCCACGGTGAACACATCCACTACTTGATGCATGATCGTGTATTTTCGATTGACTAAACTGTGTGAATGTGTCTGTGCGCACTATATAGTTTGCAACTTTTGTACGTTGCATATTTTTATCGGAGGTCTGTGTTATAGAATATGAATTGCAAACACGTTGTAATTATAACATTAATGCAAAAAGTAGAAGGGAGACGAGTACGCGTCGCTAAAAAAAATCCATCAAATTTCGAGGCCGAAAAAAATGGCAATGATTCACTTTGGGAGTTTTTTTTTCTCTCATTCTCTTGCTCTTCACTCGTTCCCGTTCGTTATTATTGAAAATTTTGTGATTTGCCACTTTGTAGAGCTGTCACACCATTCGCAATTGGATGTGTATACAAATGAATATAATGAAAGCTACACTTTGTGAAATGCAACGACCTGCGACATTGGGACAGAAGAGTAAAGGGCAAGGGGTGAGCCATTGAGAGAGAGAGAGAGAGTATGTTAACAAAAATGACGAATAGCGTTTTATTTCATTTGAAAGCATTGAATTCGGTGACAGTGAAGCTATATGGCCAAACGTTTATTAAGCCGGTCAAAATGACAAAATGTGCATTGCACACATACACATCAATGCATTTCGAATGCACATCCTCGGTCGCGAATATTTGTGTGTAAATGGCTTTTGGCGCTCTGGGTACAAGTATAGCGAATCAGTGGTATTAAGCGATTCTATGTCACGTTTTATAAAACGTGATAATTTTATATC